ATATATCTTTATTGATTTCAGAGAGAGGAAAGGNGTTGTTTTTTTTTTAAATATACCTTTATTGATTTCAGACAGAGGAAAGGAGAGGGAGAGCGAGAGGTAGAAACATCAATGATGAGAGAGTCATTGATCGAGCCCACAACCTGGGCATGTGCTCTGACCAGGAATCGAACCCTGATCGCCTGGATCCCAGGTCGACACTCAACCGCTGAGCCATGCCCGGCCGGGCAGTCCTCCACATTTTAATTGATGACATCCCCATTCTCCTAGCTGCTCAGGCCAGATACCTTGGGGACACCCCTGACTCCTCTCTAGCTTTCACACCTCACTTCAGATTGGTTGCCAAATCCCCTACCTTCAAAACGTATTCAGAGCCCGACCATGTCTTGCTACCTCTCCCACCTCTGCTCTGATCCAAGCCACCGTTATATTTGCTTCGATCAATGCAGTGACTTCCTAGTTAGTCTTCTTGCTTCCAACTTCCCTGAAACTCTGCCTCCAGCCTATAGTCTCTTCTCAATGCAGCAGATAGAACAACCTTTAAAAACCTGAGTCAGACCATGTCATTCCCCCAATAGTAGCTTCCCACCTGATTCGTAGTTAAAGTGAGCATCCTAATATGGCCTTAATGCCCTACATAACTTAGCCCCCTGTAACCCCTGGCAACTCCTCTCCTATTGCTCTTACTCCGCCTCAGGTTTCAGCTGCTCTGTTCTTTAAGACATTCCTGCCACAGGGTCTTTGCATTTGCCACTCCCCTCCTGGGAATGCTTCCCCCCCCAGTAGCCACATTGATTTTGCCCTTGCCTTTTTCCAGTTTCTGTTAATGTCGTATTCTCTGTGAGGAGTTTCTCCACTATGCTATTTAAAGTTTAGTGCGTGTTTGGTGTTTGTTTTATTTCTCTCTATAGCATTTATAACTCTTCAATATTCTCTATAATGTACTTCTCTATTTTGCTATTTTCTTTCTGTTTCCACTAGAATAAGTTCCCTAAGAATGAAAATTCTTGTTTGCTTTGTTCTCTGCCATATAGCCCTTGAGTTTGAAGCTGTGCCTGGCACTAATAGCTGCTCAATAAAGATTTGTTTAATGAAGCTGAAGAGGTGCAAAGGACTAGGTGAAGTAGAGCCTTATTAGGCTGTGGGAAGGAGTTTACATTTTATTAGACTGTATTTACATCTCATCATAGAAGTCCCTGAAAGGGACAGTCCAGCAGCAGCAGCTACAGCAGAAGGGGTTAGGGAGGGCTGTATTTGGGGCAATAGGTTAGCTCAAGGAGTGGGAAGGGAGTGACAGAGAGAAGAGGATCTTGGGCCTTTTATAAAAGAATTTTCTGCTGTTTAAAAATGTTTCACTTTCAGATATTTTACAATTTTAGCACTCAAGTATCTGTTAGAAATTAAATTTTAAAAATACTACAGGGAAAGTTAGTTCTGAAAAGCTTCACCAGGGAAGTTTAAATTGCATTAATTATGAGTCGGGTGGAAAAATGTGCCATTGGAAAAGCAGCCTATATTTTAAATATGTTTCAGCTTACATAATGGAAGATATATTTAGACCTGTAAACTTACAGAATATCAGAAAATTATGTTCTAATTGCTCTACATAATTTGCCTAATGCTCTGCCAGCTGTGCTGTACAAAAATATGAAAAATTATATAGCTGCTTTTTTCCCCCGAAAGCCTCTGCTAGCTTTTATTTGTAGCATCCTTTTGTATCTCTTTTCTGCTTTTGACAAATGAGAAGTAAGATAAACATTTGAAGTGAACCAAATTTTTGGCTATAAATACCTAAGTTGTATTTGTTTTCATCTTTCCTTTTTAAGATAACCTGCCGAAATTTTATTGGGAAGCAACTCAAGATTAATCCTCCAATCACTAAACTGACAGATACTGGAAACGGCACAGATTTCCTGAAAAATCTCATCCTTTCAGGTCAGAACCAGTTTCAGCTCTTTTAGAGCGAGGTCGGCTGTTGTGTTCTGCTTGTCAGATCTTCCATAATTAAAATGTTTGCAAAATCTCTTTTGCATGTTTATTTGACAGAAAATATTCCATTTGATATTTACCATCTTATGTTGCTATCAATGTCACTTAAGGGTAATTAAAACCCATGTTTATTAATGTTTAAATTAAAGAGAGGAAATAAATCTTCACTAAAATGAGAAAGGAGATGGGTGGGAAAACAAAGATGGGAAAGACTGTTCCAAGCTGTTTTCCCTGTTCTTCTCTCTCTTGGGAACTCTTCATGTTGACCTTTTGCTGTTCGCTGTTTTGACACCCGTAACTTCCATTTCCGTAATCAGAATAGATTGTTCTTCTGTTGGCTTTACCATGGTGAAGATGTATGTCTTTTAACTAGAGCTCAGAGGAAGATTTGGGAATGCCACGGCTCCTTTGCTTTCAGCTGATGAACCCTCTCAGAGTATTTTGGCAGCAGCTTGTAGGAATGAAGCAGTAGAAAAAGATGGAAATAGAAATAAGGCCTCTCTCCATTGTACTTTTCATGCATCTGCTTCTGGTATAGGAAAGAAATTCAAGTCTTCTCTTTGAGGTGTTAGGATTCTTTCATCTATTTATCTGTGGGTTTCTGCATGTATGTGCGTGTATGCAGAATAGTTCCCCTTATCCTTGGATACGTTCCAAGACCTCCAGAGGATGGCTGAAACTGGGAGTAGTACCGAACCCTATAAATATATTATGTTTTTTTCATATACATACATGCCTATGAGAAAGTTTAATTTATAAATTAGGCACAGTAAAAGATTCACAACAATAATAATAAAATAAAACAGTTATAACAATATACTGTAATAAAAGTTATGTGAATATGGTCTCTCTGTCTCTCTCTGATAACCAATCAGATAACTGAGACCACTAATAAGCTACTAATGAGCAGGCTGTGTATACGGCACGGATACGCCGGACAAAGGGATGATTCATGTCCTGAGTGGGAAGGAGCGGGATAATGTGAGATTTCATCACCGTTCTGTGGTGTGCCATTTAAAACGAATGAATTGTTTATTCTGGAGTTTTCCACTTAATATTTTCAGATCATGGTTGACTGTGGGTAACTGAAATTATGGAAAGTGAAGCCATGGATAAGGGGGATCTGCTGAAATCATTCACTCATTCATTTATGCAGATCATATCCTCCATACTACAGCAGATTCTTGAATAATGCCATTTCGTTCAACATCATTTCATTACAACATTGATGAGTTATATATAAATCGTGGTGGCTCTTAATGCTGATACTTGAAAGTGACACATGTCACTTCTCATGATTCATTGGCTAAATCACATGGCCACACCTCACTTCAAAAGGAGTATAGGGAAGTGTGACGCTGCTCTGTACCCTGAGGATGAAGAGCCACAGACTAGATGAGGAGCCCTAAGGTCTGTCCCAGGAGCAAACAGGAAGAACGGTGTCTGAAAGAGATTGGGTTGTGGCCTGACAGGCGGGAGGTACAGCAGACGAGAGTGGTATAAACAAGGCCAAGCAAGGGCGAGGGACCGAGCAAGACGAAGCCATCAACAGTCAGAGAGGTCACATAACATGAGGAGAGACTGTTGTATTTGGGAAGTCATTGTCACTGGTCTCTTTGCTATGACACCCTCATCTTAGGCCTTGCTGCAGCAGTTTCCCTTCCTGACATGCTCTTCCCCCATCCAGATTTCTGTCTGATCGCCCCCTCACCTACGTTAAGTCTTTGTGTACGTCCCATCTTTTCAGTGAGGCTCACCCTGACCACTGTATTTAAAACTGCTCCCAGCTGCTTCCTCTCGCTTCTCTGCTTCCCCATACTCTGCTAAACATTTTCTTTTTTTCTGAAGCGCATACCAGCCACCTATCACCTACTGTATAATTCAGTTTTTCATTGTATTTCTTGATTACTAGTCTGTCTAAACTCTGTGAGAATAAGGACCATTGCTTTTCTCATTGTTATAATCCAGATGCCTTCATCGTGTCTGATACATAGTAGAAACTCAGTATCTATTTGTTGAATGAATGACTGTGACCTTAATAAGAGTAGCTTCAAAGAAATGGTGGGGAGGGGAGGGGAAGTATTCTGAGTGGGGTGGGTGGGTGCAGAGGCGGTGAGCTGTGCCTGCAGAGTCATTGACTAGAGAGTTGTCTTTCAGAGAGCTTAGCAGTGACAAGAATGACAGTGGCAGCAGCTAGAAGGAAATGCAGGGCTCAGGAGGGCTTTGTTTGGTGTGTCTGTTTTAAATAGGAGCATATTTCTATCTTAAATGGAAAGAGCCAGTAGGGAGGGTGAGCTTAGAGACAGGGGAGATATTTGGTATGGCAAGGAGCTTGAGGAGAAATAGGCAGAGACTGGGATGCAGGGGAATTGGCCTCGGACAGGAGGGTGAAACCCCCAGGGCAGGGGGCGGAGGAGAGAGCAGGTTCAATGTGGGAAAGCTGGTGGGGGGAGGAAGGAGTGGGAGGCATTCTCACTGGGGACTGAGGATTTTCTTAATGAAGTCGGGGGTCGAAGGCATAGCCAAGGTTGATGGGACAGGAGATTTCAGAATGTGGAAGAGTGGGCTGGCCACTAGGGGAGATAGAAGGGAAGATAGGAGGCTGCAGAGCAGTGTACAGGGTCCAGCTGAGTGAGGTTGGTGACCATGTAGGTTTTACTGTCCATGGTAAACCACATTATCCCTCACATTCAGTAAACAGTGGGAGGCCCTGTGTGGTCAATCCACAGGTGTGACTAGTTCCAGTCGAAGAGTGTGATTCTTCCTGGGTGTGTTCTAGTAAAATTCTAGACCTGTGTGACCAGTAGGTGATTATTGGTGATGGGTGCATCATGTCAGAAAAGCACTGTGCTTGCCTGTTGGTAAAGTTGCACGTGGAAAGTCAAGATGGTGGGTGGTGGGACAGACAGGAAGGCCGGTGGGATCAGGCTGCAGTGATCCTTTGGGTTGAATCTCAGTGGTGGTGGACCTATAAGCCAGTTTTAGCAATAGCTAGAGCAGGAATATTTGAATGGATAAAAATCTAAAAAATATTATAGTGGCAATAATAATTAACTGGGCCAGGCACTATAGTTATCACTTTACAACCATTAGCTGCTTTCATTTTTATAATCTTAGGAGTAGGTATTTTTATGTTTACATTGTAGATAGAGAATGAAATGTTACTAGTAAGTCCTGGAACTGTGATTCAAACCCTGGGAAGATTGTTTAGCCCATAAATGCTCCACTGGGCTACCAGGCCTGGTCATGATCTATGCCCTCTAGGTTAGACTCTCTTCTGATCTTACAGCACTCAAGAAAGTATATGCGAGATATCAGTGGTCATGGGAAGACAGATACTTTCTTCTGACTCACTGTGACAGTATGGTAATTTTTACATGGTCCTGCATACTGATTACAGGTTTCACATTGAGTCATTATCATGAAAAGCTTGGCATCCAGCTTATAGCCCTTTAAAAGACTCTAGGACCTCTTGGAGCAATGTTTTGGCACACTTGGAGCACACTTTTGGGCTTATTTGTCAGATTTTTAGGATGCTGAATTTTTTTCAGTGTACTGAACTCAGATCATTAACATGTTTATACTCATGGTGGGTGTTATGTTTGTCACCATGACCTGTTTGCAATTCTTTTAAAAGACCACGCATATTCTTGATGTTTTCCACACCAAATTGCTTCTTTAGAACATCATAGATTTTCTTTTGGCATAATGGCATTTGTGACTAACGTTTGATATATTTCATTCTTCAGAGCAGATGTTGTAATGCTCCAGTGCCTAGGAACATTTGGTGATCTCATTATTTAAAAGCATTCCATTCTCCCTCTAACTATTTAATAATGCATATGTAATTTGGTACGGTCTCTGTAGGATTTGGAGACATGAGAATACCTCACTTTATAGATTACTTTTTGTATGGATGAGTAACTCGCTAGCTTGTCAAGCTTCAGAGGGGAGACAACTCTGTGGCTGTGTATTTTATTGTCACTGTTTTTGCATTCTGTCTGGAATCTCCTTCCTGAGTCTTGACCTTATTGGTTTTAAGTTTTCCGATAGGGTTATTCAGTCTTCAGGTGTGTTGGAATTTTCAACCCTTTGGTGGGTGTGTTTTATTACTGCATCTGGGCATTTGAACTGATACGACCCAATGTGCAGAAAGCAGCCCACATTTCGAATCACTCCCTGGGAGTTTTCGTTGGCGGACCCGTATTCCAGGAGCCACTGGCATTTTAGTTTCAGCGTCTCCACTGGTACAATGGAAGACAATAATTCCCTTCTTTTTTCTTCCTTTCCTCCTCCTGCCGCTCCTCCTTCTCTTCTCACCAATTTCAAACTGTTGTGGCTTTGAAATGGCTTCTTGAATGATCCATGGGAGTTTCCAGACAGGACCCCCCTTGAGATAGATGTCAGGATAAGGCATCTGAAGCTGATGCTTCCTCATTGCTTTCCATCATTTATCTCATGTAGACAGCCACAAACCACCAGATAGAGCCCCAGTTAGACCCCAAGGAAAAGGTACCGTAGGGCTTGAAAAAAGGAAAATCAGACAGCAAAATAAAGTTTAGGAAAAAAGGAATGACTTACGAGCAGATAAAAGTAGCAGGAGGGTAATTTTATTCTGACTCCCTATTTTAAAGATGGCAAACTCCTTCCCCTCCTCCTGTCCTCTCGTCACCGACTTGCATTTGTGATTTCTACTGTGGAATATAAGCTCCATGAGAGCAGGGAGCATGTCTCCTCAGTGCCTCGCATGGTGCCTAGTACTGGTAAGTGTTAACATATATGGTAAGAATGTATGACTGACAGTAGAACATAGGCCTCCATCTACTGAGTGCTTACTCCATGGCAGGCACTATGCTGGACACTTTACACACAGTTTAAAATAATGACCGTAGGAGGTAACTAGTATTCATCCCACTTTTTTTCTTTTCCATCCCTCTTTTGACAGATATTTGAAACCAAGGCCTAGAGAAAGTAACTGACTCTCAAAATATTAATATGCGAGGGCTTCTAGCTCCCTTGTTTTTCTTTGCTGGCTTCTTTCCCTGATCTAACTCTCTGAGGAGAAACAGATAAAATCCGAGCTCATGAATTCTTGCAAGAAAAACAGAGCAGAAACCTATAAACTTCAGGGTGTTGTACATAAGGGTGGCTGTGGGAGGGCTGGGGACATGCCTTGTCAGGATCATGTAAGACAGTGCACGATTAGGGGAGAGTGGACTTGAGGGAGCACGATGGGGGGACAGGACAGAGTGCCACCTTGCAAACAGGTCATGGTGACTTGCACAAGACCCACTATACTTATCAACATGTTAGTGATCTCAGTTCAGTACACTGAAAAAAATTCAGCATCCTAAAACTTTTCAAACAAGCTCAAAAGTATGGCCTAAACATTGCTCCAAGAGGTCCTAGAGTCTTTTAAAGGCCTATAAGCTGGATGCCAAGCTTTTCATGATAATGAACTCAATGTGAAATCTATAATTAGTATGTAGGACCATGTAAAAATTACCATACTGTCTCAATAAGTCAGAAGAAAGTATCTCTCTTCCCATGACCATTGATATCTAGCTATAAGGTTGAGTGCTATAAGGTTAGAGGACAGTCTAACGTGAAAGGGCACAAATGATTATCAGGCCTGGTAGCTCAGTGGCGCACTTATCTGCATGCCTGGTGTGAGAAGGAGGCAGGGAGAAGAGTAAGACAAAGGGTCAGAGCAGTCATGGAGCCAGCTCATCTCAGGCCTTACAAGGCACTCTTGGGGCTTTGGTGTTTGCTGTAGGCAATGGGAAGCTAACCGAGGGTCTTGGGCAAAGGTGTGACCTGAGAAGACTAAAGTTTTAAAAAGAATCCTCTGGTTGCTGTGTTGAGAGTGGCAAGGGTGGAAGCAGGGAGACTGGTTATCAGGATGATTGCAGTAATTTCACAGGAGATAGTAAGGTCTTGCAACATAGTGGAAGTGGCAGTGGAGGCTGCAGCTGGTGAGAGGTGGTGGCACTCTGGATGTTTTCTGAAGGGGGAGCCTGTGGGATTTGCTATGAATTTGATTTGGAGTATGAGAGAAGTCAAGGAAGGTTCCAGCTTTGGGCCTGAGCAGCTGTGGAAATGAAACCATCCTTTAGTGAGATAGGGAAATACTATGGAAGGAGCTGGTTTCCGGGGAAAGATTAGGAAGTCAGTTGGGGACTTGTTAAATTTGACATGTCTGTTGAATGCACAGCAGAGTAGATCATTGGATAGATGAGCCTGGACTTCAGAAAAGTTGGGGCCAGAGATATAAATTTGGGAGACACTAGCATATAGATGATAGTTAAAGCCATGAGACTAGATGAAATTATCAAGGGGGTGGGTATAAATTAAGAAGAAAGGAGAGGCAACCTAAGGATAGAGCCCTGCGGTTTTCCAGTATTAAGAGGTTGGGCTGATGAGGCTGGATTAGCAGAGGGGACCAAGAAGGACATGCCAGTGAGGTTGGAAGAGGACCCGTGAGCCAAGTGCAGGAAGTATTTCAAAGAGGAGGGAATTACTAACTGAGTCACGTGCTGCTGAAAACTGAAGGGAGGTAGAGTCTAAAAGTTGANGTGGACACATCCTGAAAGTAGACTGGGCAAGACTTGTGCTTGGATAGGATATTGGATAAAGAAAGGCACTAGAGGAGAATTCAAGTGTTTGGCCAGAGCAACAGGAAGGGTGAAGTTCCCATGTATAGATATGGAAAGTTTTGTATGAGGAGACATTCATGGTCAGAGCTGGGACCATGGAGGTGGTATAAAATCAGGAGTTTAGTTTTGTTTTGGCATAGTCATCCTAAATATCTATTGGACATCCAAGCAGAGATACAGATAGTCTGATATACAAGTTAGGAGTCCAAGAGAGATGTGCAGACAAAATGCAAGTGCAGACATGGTTGCATTGGCATGTAAATAATACTTAAAGCCATGCAGTTGACAGTGGTCAGGAGGGGAGTGGGCACAGGCAGAGTGGAAGACAGGTTTGAGGACTGAGTTCACCTTGCCCTGACATTGAGCAGGTGGAGACACAAGAAGTAACCAGTAGAGGAAATAAAAGGTCTGAGGAAACTGAGCATTGTGTGGTGTTTTGAAACCAAATGAAATGGTTTTCCTGAGGGGCAAGTGGCCAACTGTGCCAAGTACTGTTGTTAGTGCTTGTAAAGTGAAGGTAAAAAAATGAGCACAGGATTTTGTAACCTTGGGGAAAAGGCTGATTTAAGTGGGTTCAAGAGAGAATGGGAAACAATGAATATAGAACTTTTTGAGGTGTTTTACTGTAAAAAAGGAACAGAGAAATAGGATGGTACCTTGAGGGGAAAGTAGGGTCAAGAGAAAGGTTCTTCAGTCAGCATAGCACTCTCCAGGTTCCTCCATGGTGCCTCAAAGGCTAAGAGATCATTAGTTTCCACATATAAGTGAAATCATGTGATACTTGTCTTCCTCTGACTCGCAATTTTTAATGTTTTTTTAAAGATGGGAGAAAAACAGCAAAATGTGTTGCTGGGAAAGATTCAGCAGAGGGAAAAATTGATGATTTGGAGAAAAGAGAACAGCTGGAGAGATGCTGTTGCGGTGTAGATGGGCTGGGGGCTGGGTGGATGTGCTGGTGGGGTTTGTGGGAATTCCTTTTTGATTGTATTGGATGTTTTCAAGTGAGGTAAGAAGCAAGGCCATTGGCCCTGAACGGATGGGGAATAGGTAACTCCCACCCCCTTTTAGCCAATTAACTACTCTTCCTGTTGCTTCAACAATGGAAAGTTCCGTTTCCCTCCCTTGTTTTCTTTGCTACTACCTTAGTCAAGTTCAGATCACACATTGTTGTCAGCCTCTCAGCCAGCAACCTCCTGAAGGTCTGCTGTGCATATAAGTGTGAGCTAAATCTTCCTAAAACACCACTTCCTGTCAGGGTCCTGCTCAGCACCCTGGCTCAGCTTCCCAGTAGAAATGACCAGGACCACTTACTCAGCGAGTGCCTCGGGCCCCTGGCAAGCCCATCTTTGTTCAGCAGGACTGGCCGTGTCACCGCACTGCTGCTGCCATGCCTCTCCTTGCACACACGAGGCCTGCGACCCGAGGGAGGCTACCCGACTTCTCTCTATGCCTCCTTTTCCTCTTCTGTAAAGCGAGGTCACAGCAGTACCTACCTTCCTCTTACAGTTGTTTTAGGGTTCGATGAGACTGCCGCTGTAAATTACTTAGAATAGTCCCTGGTTTGTGTAAGTGCTCGGCCATCCTCAGCTATTCTTATTCTAATAATCTAAAACTCCTTCTATCTTTCTTCCTAAGTCGTGCCCACCCTCTTAAGACACAGCTGATCTGCCTTCTCTCCCGCAGTCTTTCGAGCTCTCTTTCCTCCCTATGCCCATCTCTCTCCTGTGCTCTCCTCATTTTAGCCTGTAAGCAGACACTCCCTGCCGATGCGACTTTAATATGCCCATGACAGATGCTTCATCTCTTCAGCTAGACAGTAGACTCTCAAGGGCAAAGGTGTTGCCTCAACCTCCTGTAGCTGCACCCCTCAAAGTCACTGTACTATAAACACCCCAGCTTTTGCAGGGGGTATTCAACCTGTTCAGTTTGTGAAGAAGTCAGTTCCTTTGTTTCTCCAGCTGAAGCCCACATTTCCTGTTTTCTGTGTGCCCGCTTCATGATCATTTTTTTGCAGCCTGATTCTTGGATGGTTACTTCCTCTCCAGAGACCTCATAGCAACTTTTTTCCCAGCCATATTTTCTGGACTCTCTGTTAGTTTCATGCCCACTTATGGCCCCATCTCCTTTCCTCCACATCCTCCAATCTGAGAAACGGTCTCTTCCTTCTCTTAAGGGAGCATTTGCCCATCTCCAAGCTTTTTTGTTTCTTCCTTTTGTCTCTTCCCCAAGGTACCCCTGCTTTGAAGAGGCTGCTGAGAAGGAGGAGATTATTTTAGCTTTTATGGTCAGCAGAAAAAAGTAGGAGGCTTCATGAGGAAAATTGGCAAGATCTAAAGGTTTTTGCATTTCATAAGAATCAAAAGTTTTCTGTTTGTTTTTTGTTTGTTTTTTAAAGAACTTTCAAATATACCAAGAAAAAATTATCTGAATGTTGAAATATCTGCTATGTACCCAGGGGCCTTTGAATTTAGTAGCTTTAGTTTGGGACCAAGAAATTCTCTGAATTAAGAGTCTCTTGCTACTTACTAGTTGGCTTCCTGCAGCATTTCATCCCCAGTGTTGCTCTTCCTTCCTTTCAGAATATAGCCGAGCCAGAGGACTCGTCTGTGTGCCCGTGGACGTGACAGACACTCTGAGATGTTTTAGAGAGACTTTGGAAAAATCCCGATATCATAGCAGATCAATCCGACACAGCAGAAAGTTGCTTTCATTGCTTCTTGCACAGACACAAGGTAAAAATACTTGCTCTGTATCCCTTTAGTTTTTATTTAGGTGGGGATGCTACCCTGCAGACCCACCACATCCTGCCACAGGTGCTTCCTTTCCCCACTCCTGAGCCCACTCACTGCTGCCTTTCACTTTCTTCTTGCCTGGTGGATCACATCATCTCTCACTCTGTTCCAGCCAAGGCTCTGTCTCACTCATGTGCTTTTATGCTTCCCGTGAAACTACCATTCTCCTTGTGTAAAGTAGATACAAAAGCAGTATTTGGTAATTTTTCAGTTCTGTACATCTGTGCTCTTACCATTTTCTTTGCAAGTATGGTGCTGTAGCCTTGTTTAATTTTCATGAGCAGATGAATTGATTCATACTGAATTAACTAGAACCTTTTACCAAAACACTACTTTATCAGTGTCAAAGAAATGGATGCTTTTTAATATAAGAATCAATAAGATTTCTTGTTAATACCACAGATTTTTATCTTTAGAGATTATTTTGGCTTAAAACAAGATGTTTACTATCATTAGTTACATTATGTTCATTTGTTTTCCTCCCTTCTCAACATCTATCGATTTGTGAACATAATGAAAGCAGGGCTTTGAGTAAGTGGTAACCTCAAAGAAGAGCATAGTCAAATTTATCTATATTTAGGTTATTTAAAATTTTTTTAAATCCTAATTTATGTTTATGACTCTTGCTATTCAAATTTATCAGAATAATAAAGAATAAACTTAAAATAATTACATTTTAAAGTTATTTAAAGATAGATTTAAACTTATATCTAAGATGCTGATATCCACTGAACTTATGTTTTAGAAATCTGACCAGTTTTTTTATAACAACTGACCAAAGTTTTATGTGTGTATGTATGTATATATGTATGTATGTGTATATGTCTGTATGTATACATGTATGTATGTATTTGTTGTTGCTGCCCCCTGCAAAAAGCTATGATATGTACCCACAGTTTTTGGTTGTGTTGTCCACAGACTCACATTGCATTAAATGAGCTCTCCATATCATGTTTAAAGTTTTTTCACTTATGGCACATTGACAATGATTAAGGGCATGAATAAGAAAGGAAGTAAAATTCCTAGGCATGGTTTACATGAACTCACTCTAAATCTCACCTGGTACCAAAATGTTATTTTGAAATACTGAAATATGAATCTAATATTCATTTGAAATATAGTGTTGGGGGAGAACTCTGTGGATACCCTGGATCACCAGAAAGACAGATAAGGGTGCCCTAAAGTAAATTTAGCCTGAAACGTTGCTGGAGTAAAAAAAAAAAGGTGTTCCACTTTAAGCACATCATGAGAAGGCAGCGTTCTTTGGAAAATACACTAATGCTGGGAAAAGTAGAGGAAGCAGGAAAAGAGGATCTGAGATGGATTGACTCCATAAAAGAAGCCATAGGCACCTGGCTGGGCGTGGCTCAGTGGTTGAGCTTCAACTGATGATCCAGGAGATCGCTGTTTGATTCCTGGTCAGGGCACATGCCCAGGTTGTGGGCTTGATCCCCAGTGGGGGGCGTGCAGGAGGCAGCCAGTCAATGACTCTCTCATCATTAATGTTTCTCTCTCTCTCTCTCCCTTCCTCTCTCTGAAATCAATAAAGATATATTTTTAAAAAAAGCCATAGGCATGAGTGTGCAGGAGCTAAGCAGGACTACTGAGGACAGGACACTGTGGACATCACTCACTCACAGGATCACCAGGGGTCATGCAACTCAACAGTATGGAACACATACACCAAAATATTCCCAGCAGCTTATCCCAGTCCTCAGGCTGTAGACTTCAAAATCCCCAATTGCTTCTCTCTCTCTGCATCTTTTGACCACTTTCCCTAGAATATTTTCCCCTTTTTTTTGGTACTCCGATCATAAAAAGAGACAGCTTTTTCCCGTTTTTCCCCCTCAGGCCAGAGCTACCTATGTGTTGCTTTTATCCCAGAGGCCTCCGCCCCAGAGGCAAACTAACATCTTACTGTTGGAAGCTGTTAGAGAAGGGCAAGGCCAAATGGTGTAACTTCCACCAATTCCCACCGAGAAGCAAAGCGTTATTTAGCATTTATATACCTGCGGACAGACTGTGAAGTAGCTGGAGTATAGAGCCCATCCCCACAGCCCTGTGCACTCAGAAATGATTCTGGATACTAAGTTTAAGGAGCCAAAGTTCCTCAACCTGCACATAAGTCTCAGCTACATAAAAATCTTTCCTTTCTCCCCCCTTCCCATTTCTACTACCTTTATCTTCACCGTCAACTTCCCTTCTTCTTTCCATTTTAAATTTCTTTTCAATTTTCCCCCATGCATAGGAGACAAAGGAGTTAACAATTCAAAATTCTCTACTGGGAAGGTGGAGTTCTGCCTGGGGACAGAAGAGATGCACATGCCAACGCCCCCCGACCTTTCTCAGGAGCACTTCCGCGTCTTCAGTTCAGTGGAGAAGAGCAAACTCCCCTACTCACAACTCGGCCTCGTAATTTCTTCATATTACAAAACTATTGGTGAGATTTCCTCATTATGTATATATTTTCAGTATGTTCCACCCACATGACTCTTGGGTTACATTTGGACTTGACATGTTCTTTTTAAAAATAGGATGAAAGAGCTTGCAGTAAAATCTGATCCTCATACCGTTGCGGGCAGTGACAGCAGGGTCGAGTTGATGTGTCCAGCACCTCCTGTTACCCTCTTCCCCCAGCCTGGCTGTCACACTGGGGGATCCTAGGCCACCCTCCTGTCCAACCCCCTTTAACTGTGTCTGTGAGCCGCTTGTTGAGTTGTGGCCACTGTCGAGTTCTTTTGCTCTGCCTTAGCTGATTTCACTTTCTTTGTCTTTCCAATTGGTTGGGCTTTTAGGAATTCAGCAGTATGTACTCAACCCACATTGTAAACCCAACATCTCCCTTTTTTTATAGCAGACATTTTGTAATTGCCTCCTCTACTCTCTCCAGTAAAGTTTATATTTAATGTATTCTTCCTACATGTATTATTTCCCCCCCAAAATCAATGCGAAGCTCTAAATATAAAATAAGGGATAAGTAAAGTCGCTTTATAATAGAAGGATCTATTGTTGGGAGGGAAGTGCTCAAGCAGCGGAAGGTGCATTTAAATAATCAGGTGCTCATATCCTGTGTGTAGGTTCACCACGGTGTCACAGCTGCGAACACAGAGCGGTTCCTTTGTTATACTGGTGACACATAGCTTCAGCACTGTTAATTTTGGTTACATAATTTTGTAAAATAGGAAATAAATCTAGGTAAAGTTCTGAACAAAACAGTATTACAGTGTGTGGTTGCATTTCTGGCAAATTCAGAGCATTTTGAAAACATGCAAATATACCCTTTTTACATATGGAATGAAGTTAGACGTTAGACTCAGGTAATTGCAAACAAGTTTATCACCTTTTTCTTCACTGTAGGGGAGGGTTCTGTGTGTTACAGGCCATCCAGTGTCTCTGGTCTTCACCTACGACATATCAGATGTCCCATTGTGACAACTGACGAAACCCTTCCTAAGATTTCTAAACTACCCCTAGGGGGCAGTACAGCCCTCATTAGAAACCATTGCTGTGTCGGTTGGGTATTTTAGCTACACATCCTTGAATGCATGCATTCATTCATCAGAACCCCCTCAATCCCTACCCCCACCTCCCAGTTCAAGTGATATTAAAGATTTGCTTTTTTTGCATTTGGGTAAGAGGAAGAATCGGATGTGCTGTAATCTTGTCACGTCCCTGCTCAAGGCTCCCGTCTGCTATAGACTAACATCCACATTTTCCCACAGAGGCATCTAGGAACCTCTGTAACGTTCCCACTCCTTCCTTCCTTCACCACCCCCCAAGGAAAACCATACTGTAGCCACACATGTCATTTCCATATACTCCCAACCCAGTCTCCCTTGCACACCTCTTCTGCATTCTCCTCTCAACCATTTCTACCCTCCTGACTCTTATTTCACTTTCTCCATGTTTCTCACCTGTTGTTAGACTTAATCTCCCACTCCACTGCGTTCAAAGAGAACATCGTTTACTCTCTGCATACATGTCATTTGAAGGCACTACTAGCTTGCATTTGGCTTCTGCACACAGTTAAGAAAAATACAGTTGAAAATATTCCTGCAAATATAAAGGAAATATTTTTCTGGAACTGATATTTGTTCTTTTACTTGATTAAAATACAGAGGTTCTCCAAACCAGCAATCAGAGAAGTCTTAATGTCCAGGCATTGCATCAGCTTGGAAATCTTTTCGTCTTCGCAGGAAAGAAAAGGTAGATTTTTTTTTTAGGGGTCTACAGAACAAGGGAAAATTTTGTTTGAAAAAAAATTTTTTAATTGTAAAAAATATTGCCTCATAATTTCTAGTTCTTCAATGATATTACGTTGCTACTTTTTTTTCTTCAAGTGCTACCCGAGAGAAATGGTTATGCAGACATAATACACGGTGGGATCGATTTTAATTAAAATGTTTCTTCAGTGTACTCACCTTCCCTTTTGGGAAGATTTAATGATACAGGTCTTGGAGAATGCTGCTGCTCAATGCTCTGTTCCTGTCCTAGGGCTGCTTTTAAATGTTGGTGTCAAGCTCTTGATGAGATATTCAGGAAGCAAGACGTGCTGCATACGTGGAAAGAGTTGGGCCCCTCGCTCAGCTGTGCCCCCGATGGCGGTTCACCTGCGCGTTCCAAAGACTACAGTGAGGAATTCCTGTCAAGAGTTGGCATTTGGGGATGTTCGCAAGGGGCGGTCATATCGGCAAAGATAGCACAGTGAGTGTGATGCTGGTGATCGGCCCTGTATCAGGTAGCTTCCCTTTGTGGGGAAGCTCAGTAACCCGGGGTAACCTCATCGCAAAGTCTTTTTTAATTGTTTTTGTGATGTAAGGTAACACGTTCATAGGTTTTAGGAATTAGGATGTGGGGACTGTTACCAGCCTGTCACACATATATGAAAGTCTATCACAATGCCTTATACCTAGTTAGCACTCACAGATATCTTAACTATTTGATTAATGTGAGACATTTAAAAAGCATGGAGGGAGTGGTGCTCGCCTCAGCAGCACATGTACTGAAACTGGGACCCTGATGAGAAGAGAAGCAGGCCCTGAGCAAGGACAAGGGGCACATTCGTGAAGCGTTCTGTACTTAAAAATAAAAGCATGGAGGGTAGAGGCACAGGTTTCCTTCACTTCCCCAGCTACGGTACATTTATTGCTTAACTATAGGGTGTGGTCTGGTGGGCAAAAACCTGCATGGTATTTTGAGCTGTAGAGCAAATTTAAAAAAATAAAACTAGTTAATGATCACATTGTTTTCCGAAAATTAACATCCTTGAGCAGGGGAAGTAAATTACCTAGTTCAAAAGTATTAACCAGTAAAGACTTTTTAAAAATTTGTTAAGTTTGATTGTCTTGCACTCCTGGGAAAGAATACACCACACACACACACACAACCCCCACAAAGTCTGAGCTCATGACTTAGTAGAGCTTGACAGCAGCAAATAGAAAGGTTGAGAAAGGTTCACAGCTTGAAAAAGAACTGCTGTAGCATTCCGGCCACTGGGCACCTCAGCTACTCCAAGCCCCTGAACTTACTGTCTACTGATATTCAGCCAACGGGAAGTCATTTCCCGATTACGCAGCGGAAAGTCTGACTTCCATAGGATGTACGAAACTACAGGGGCCTTGGCTGGTCTCAGAGATTCCCTGACTAGAAGGAACTGTTCCCCACCACTCAGAAGGGCAAACACCATGTTCGAGAATCCATGTGGAGAAGCTGAACTCAGACGTTAATCAACATAGTTAATATGGTGAAGCCAACTGGCTTCATCTAAATAAGACGTAGAAGAAGGTCATGTGGTTTATAGCTGCAGATGTGAATTTTGAGACCCACAGGAAAAGAAACCCAAACTCTTCTATTAGACTTAACATGAGACAGCAGTAAATTCAGAGGCATTACCTTAATCTTTGGTGGAGGGATTTAATAGATAGTGTCAGTGTGTCCATAGAATACCCCAGAAAACACAGTTTCAGTCTTTCAGAAGGAATTATCTGGCCATACTCATTAAAAACTTCAAAAGTGTGTACCCCCTTTTCCCAAAAACTCCACTTCTAGGGATTTATCCAGCAGAATTAATAGGACAAGCGCTAAAAAATGTAGGTACAACAATGTTTACCTCAGCATTGGAAAATATCAAAATGGCAATGAATATTTTTACATTATGGTTAAAAATATCAAAGTTCTCTAAAGCAATGATGTAGCTCATTATGTCCATGAACAGAACATTTGTTTATAAAGTAATATGTACTGCATAATTCTAGTCAAAATGTATGTGTGTGTATAACTAGCAAAAAGTCTAGAAGTTGGAATTGGCCATAAGGTTGCCACTAACCATGTTTAGGTGGTAGGGTTATAGGTGATTTTTTGTTTCTCAGTATTGTAGATCTTATAGGAGTATGTAGCACTTTTAGAATAACAAAGACTATTTTAATTTTGGAAAGTCTGTGAGTATTAGAGACAGATTTATATAAAAACAGTTTTGAAAAACTGTCTGTGGATCAGTTTCTTTTTCTTTACACTTATTTAGATTTACTAAGGTGTTGGACGTCGAGAAGAGATCCAGCAGTTGCATTTTGTCTGCAATACTCTTCCAGGTAACACTTGATATCCATCTTTCTATAGTAGCACGACCATCCACTCAGCAAAAAGAAAGGGCAGGAGTCTGTCATATTCATAAAGCATCCAGGCAGGAAAAGAGCATGACCGTTGATAAAGTATCATAAGCCCACCTTCCCTCCTCTGGCTGGACCCCGAGCAGCACTTTCCCCTGTAGTATCCAGCAGGGTCCATTTCTCCTTGAGGTAACAGAAGGAGGAGTTTTACAGATAAGGAAACTGAGTCTCCTGTCTATGGTAAGATCACATTGCTAGTGAGCAGCAAAGTTGGTCTGTTTGACTCCAAATGGTTGCCTTAGGTGACCTCATCTCTGAGTAAAGTTTTGCTCAATTGCACGGTATAAAGTATGCTATGTAATGAAAGCAAAAAATAGGTTGAAGGCTACAGAAGTATGTAGAGTGTGTGCAGTTCTTAGGATTTGGGTTTGACTTGACTGAAGAAGAAAGGAGCTTTTATCTGAAATACAAGACATTTTCAGATTCAGGAATGTCACCGGGGCCTTTGCAATGTACTGAAGGCTCTGTTTACTTTGAAGTATGGACACCCTTGTTCTGTGTATCAGAAGAGTCTGATATCTTATGAAAGCTGTATGGATAAGCTCTTTGGGAAAGGTTTCTCTGAATGTAAGGCCAGACTTTTCAATTTCCTTCTGTTCCGCTCACCTCTTGCCTGAGCTTCAGAGGGAAGAGGGGGAAGAGCAAGGGTGTAAAGGGAGCGATAAGCTGATTCTGACTCCGCATAGCACATCCTTTATGAACAACACTCCTTGTTCTTAAAAACAATGCAGTTTATGTTTTAGAAAATAAGTACAGTTGACCCTTAAACAACCAGAGGGTTGGGGGTGTGCTGACTCCACATAGTCGAAAATGTGCTTATAACTTCACTTCCCCCAAATTTAGTTGCCCCTCGGTATCCATGGAGGATCGATTCCAGAATCCCCCACAGGTAGTAAAATCTATGGATGTGTAAGTCCCTATATAAAATCCAGTCAACCCTCTGCATCAGCAGACTCCCAACTGCAGATTGAAGACAGCACAGATACTTATCAAAAAAAATCTGTGTATAAGTGGACCCATGCAGTTCAAACCTGTGTTCTTTAAGGGTCAACTGTGATTTAAAAACGTATGTCACTTTTTGCTTAATGTGGACATATTTCTTAGTAATAGTACACCTAAAATACAAATTAGGTGGTGGAATTTATTTTTAAAGACTTCTTAATTTTTTTTTATGATTTTAAAGCACATTTTGTAAAACTAAAAATGTAAACAACTGCCTAGCATTTTAGAGTAGATACCTTATAACTTTGATGAGCAATCTGATGAAAATTCTTTCCTATATTTACATTAAAATAATATTAAATGCATTTATCATCAAGAAATTTCAGTTTTTAAAGATAACATAAGAAGCACTCCTAAATGTAAAGTTTGGTTTTGTGTATTTATCTTGTTTCCCAACGTCTAGTACAACGTTCTCCATATAAATTACTTAAGAAATATTGGTCAAATAAGTCACCTTTTCAGTTAATTTGGTTAAAATTCAGAATTACCTCTACTTGATTTAGACTTCTGAAATAAGTTGTGTCCTCTACATAGAGGTTGATAGAGTAAAAAGAACACAGTTTTCTGAATTAAATAGATAGGACTTTGAATCTTCTTTCTGCCGCCATCAGCTGTGTGACCTCAGATAAGCTGTGTGAGCCTCAGTTTTGCCATGTGTGAGATAATAATCCTGCTAGGGGTTGGTTAAACAGGATGAAGTGGGGGAGTGTAACAAATTTACCAACCGTTCCCAACACAAATCTCTCTCTCAGCAAATAACATAATATAATGATAGTTTCTTCTGAAAATAATAAGTATCCAATTACCGTGGAATTTAAAAGGCACATCCTGAGTGATAAAAACATTTGGAACCTATTACGGTGATCATATTAATGATAAGTGCTGTTTAGTACAGGGTGGAGTGTGTCAGGCACGCGCTAAGCACTTTAGGAAGTCATATATGTACTTGTCTTTCTTTGTCATTGTTGCAGATGCAGTTTATAGCTCTTTATTTCACCTTTCTTCACTCTCAGGGTTTGCTGAGAACCACACTCCCACATCCCAAAGCTGAGCGTTGCTATGCGCAGTATGAAATCACTCAGCTTCTCCCAGGCATCGAGCTCTTCTCGGATGTACACCGCGCTGACATCTGCTCTGTAGTGGCCAGTCTGTATTATGTGATACGCGAACTGCACTTTGCTAAGCAAAATATAATAGTAAGTAATTGATAACATCAACAATTCTTAATTCACTGCGGGTTTTTTGCCCCACTTACCTTATCCTTTTCAAAGTTTGTTAATGTTTGGTCAGTTCTTGTTTAACGTTTAAACTCTATATTCAAGATTTTTATCTGTACTTCAAATTAAAATATATTAAGATTCTTTGACGTCACTGTTTTCATTGCATTTTGGATTAGAAAACAATGTCTATTTGATTTTCTTCTTTTACTCTGTTTTACCATTTTTTCTTAAGACATTTGGTGAAACTGATTGGGAAGGCTCACTGGTCTCAAACAGAGGAATCTAGTGCACACGGAACTCAGTGCATTGTCAGGCAGATCATACCGGTGCCAGAACTATGAGACTATTTATTTATTGAGATAAATTTATCCTTGCGTCTCTTGTCTTTTCTTGGATGAGGGTGTATCTTAAGTAAACAGCATATTCTAACTGTGAAATAAAAGACAGACATTTCTTAATATCCTAGGAAATTAAAAAATTCCAATAAAACTTTTTCCCTTTGGGGAAATGAACCACTGCCTGTATATATTATATATTATATAGTATATATCATAAATTTGTAGTTGATTGCATTTTTAAAACAAGTTAGTATGCTCTAGCTGTTGGTCATTTTATACTTTTCTCCTTTGTTTTATTTTTCCTATTTTTCTCCTATATGCTATTTCTTCTACTTTTGTATCTCTTCTTTCGCCATTTGCTTCTTAATATCTATTCTGTATCCCTTTCCGCTTTTTCCCTTTCTTTCATAATTTTCATACCTACCTTCTTTTTTCATATATTGTTTTCTATTCTCTTGTTCTAAATTCACTCTCTCTCCTTATATTGAAAAGATTTATTTTTCCCTGATATGAGCTGTTAAATTATAAAGCCATGTGTTAAAGTGGAGAGGTTGATAAATGCTTTTAACAGTTGGCAGATTTGGCAAGAAATTGTTTATTAGAAAAAAATAACAAAGTGGTGCGCCTCTCATTGTTAAGGGGATTCATTTCTGGGTTTAGAAAGCAGTTCTATCCCCTGGGTGACCTTTAGCTGCCTACCCATATTTATATATAATACATATCACTGCACTGAAAAAGAAATGAGACTTTTTTTCTGTCTGAAGCTTAAGAAATTGAGAACATTTTTCTGAATAATTGAACAATTGGCAACAATAAAATGTTGCGTGTTTATTTCTCACTAAAGAAGAGAAAATCTCAAAGGTAATAGTCAACTCATTGTTTTGTGCTGCATTAATTGTAGAAAAAAGGTATTGTGTTGTTTTTATTGCATAATTGTGGAAAAATGTATTGTATAATGTTTGAAATATTTAGGATCAGTTCTAATTCTTTTTAAAGCTGTTGCTATGAGCAGCCTCTTGCTGACTGACAGAGTTTTGTTAGCTGAACTTGCAGGACGGAAACAGTTTCCATTTTGTATTATACCTCATTTTCACTTTTCAGTTTCTAAAAAGATGTGAAACCTAGGGTTTGTGTACTAAGTGGCATCTACTAGGAACTGTAATTCCCTGACAGCACTTTATAAAGTTCTGATAAAATAATGAAGCATATGCGAAGCAGAACATTTTACTTATACTGAACAGTATAGTCTCCTAGCATGGAAAAATCAATCTCTATATTACATAACATCTCCTACATTATTTGGCTAAATTTTATTATTGGATTATTAACTCGATAAAATATCTTTTGTTTTTTTTTGTTGGTAGATTCTGCCTCTCCTTGCATTGTACCAATATTTTGTCTCTGGAATTTGCCAAGACTTGGTCAGAAATCTAGAAGTAAGAATCCTCAAGGTATGTTAAGACATTCAGTATTCTTGAACTGCTAAAGATACTGTCATGAATCAATTTGGCTCTACTACTCATCATAATAAGCTGATGATAATAATACGGCACACTGATACTAAAAAGGTTTGCCCATCATTATAATAAAGTATGAGAAAGAGCCAGTTAGAAAGGTTTAGATAATTTTATGCTTGGGCCTCAGTAAAGTGAGGGGCAGCTACACCTGGTAACAAGGCCCACCCACCACCAGGCCGCCTGGAAATCACCACTTCTGAAAGATTGGAGACAAATGAGTCAGTTGTCTGCAGTTTTGTGAATTTTTTGCTAAGGATCTTTATGTATATTATGGTATACAATAATTTTTAATTGCACAGAAAACTGAAATGACAAAACACACAGGCACTAAATTATAGTGAACTATGGGACCTAGGAATCAGATGAGGTCCTCTGCCTTCGAGATTTGTATGCAGTTGGCCTGAACCCCCTGTGGAGTGGGAACCTCTAGCACCTCACACTCTCTTCCCCCTTTCCCAGTCAGCTATGGTCCAGGCTCCCACTGCTGTTGAGCTTGTTTTGTATGTGGGTCCAGCAGATTTTCTCCCTGTTCTGCACATCGCCATCTCTAATGTGGGACAAGATGTGCAGAGCCAGCTCTTGCACTTGGGAGTGAGTGGCTCCAACATACTACTGGCTCACCCCTCCTTCTCCTTTGGAAATGCCCGCCACCCATCTTCCCAGATGGTTCCTGTTTTGTAATGGGGGAAAAATAGAATTCCTTTTAAACTGTTCTCTCCATCCAGACCCTGCTTTGCGCCTATGTTTACGGACCCAAATAGTCCATCACATCCTATTTCTAAATAAAGACAGCACCTTCCCTAAGAGGAATTCTGGTGCTGACTATTAAGATAATACATTTCAACTTGGGAATAAATAATTCATTACCAGCCACGGTACCTTCTGGATCACCATTACTGAATTACTGAATTCTTAAGAGCTCTTCTGCTTTTGAATTTCATACAACTTTTCTCTCCTTTTTAAAAAACAGTGCTCTCTTCAAGATTGCCAAATCCTTGAATGCAGGGCCTGTATTTATTTATCTATTTGTTCTGTATAATGTCCTGAGTAATAAACTCGTATCTTTGATATTCAGTAATTATTATTGAATTTGAAATCTCTAGACGTTCATCATATGCCCACTGTCCACATTCCTTAGTGTTTAGTGGGAACTCACCTAGAAGATACTGGTAAATATTTATTGCTTCACCTCTGAAACAACATTTATTGAGTAACTTTTGTATAAAAGCACCTTGTTAGTAACTCTAGTCAAAGAAATGTAGCCTCATGGTCCTTGCTTATAGGGACGTAACAATAAGGCAGAGAGGACAGATACACAAAACAGTAACACGTGCACCTTCCCCTGATCATTTCCAAATGATTATGATGAGCACTGTCTCCAGGAGTTTGAAAGAGAGGCAAATGGCTGTGGGTCTCTATCTTTCACAAGTAGATAGGATTTAGGCTTGAAAAGAGTGGGCCTAACTAAGCAGGAGAGAGGAAGAAGGGAACATTCTTGGCAGACAGTAGTGTGGAAGACAGGTGAGAAAGTATTGCCTTGTTTCGGGGGGAGTGGTTTGGTTAGACTGGATGGAGGTTTTGAGTAGGGAGGTTAGAGAAGACAACATGAGACTAGCAGAGGTCCACAATGTGGAGAAAACCAGAGGCCAGGCTTAGTTTCAAACTGGGACATAATGTGGAGGCTGAGCAGTAGGAGAAGCGAGGAGATTGGGGCTAACAGTTTCATTCCGGTCTGTGATAAGAGGCAAGCATGGAAGGCTTGTAGTGACCATTAGTAACATGTCCAAAGGAGATGCAAAGAGGCACTGAAAGAACAAAGGTTTTGGTTAAATGACTATTTTTTATTGGATTGTTAACTTGACAGGACCACTGACAATTGTTTTTGTGCTAGAGTAGCTTAAAAGCCACTGAAGAACTGTGGACTCCACTCTGTAGCCTTGGGTTGGGAGGGGGAATTAGTTATAGAATTTGATCAGAAGGGTGTGATCAGATGTCTCTGGGAACAGTGTGAGGAGCTGAGTGAGATGGAAGTGGGTCTTACTGGTGCAGTAGGACTGGAAAACCCGACTAGGGTTTTAACAGAAGCAATGAAAAAGCACAACCAATGCATCAAACAGAGGAAAGGAATGACAGCCTGTGTTCGCAGGTCGCCTGACCTTTCTGGAGTAAATTGGGGTCAGTGAGTGGGAAGAGAGAAAAGTCGCAGTCAGGAAATAGCAAACAAGGCTGCTTTTTGACATCAATCAGCAGTGGATCACGCTGGTAAGCTTCTGCAGTGCCCCAGCGGCTTTCAGGGAAAGCTTTCAACCCCCTTACGATCCACTGGCCTGGCTTCACCATAGACCTGCCAGCATCTTGAAAGATTTTTTCTCTCAACATACCCAACATTCTGGAAAGGGTATCATTAGATCTGTATTTGTGTGAGTGAAGGGTTGATTTATGAGTAGTTTTTCCCCCTATCTGGCTTGTTTGTGTTCATAGTGTTGGTCATTTCTGAAAACACACATCCACTATTATCGCCGTTGCTTTCTTGAGTGGTCACATTGGTCTGATAAACTGAAACCAGAAGTAGCCTTGACCATTGCAGGCATTCTGTGTACAGCAACCTGACGGTGCAGACCAGAGGAGAGTACCCTTGCACAGGTGTGAGGAAATGGTTCCTCCAAGGGCAACGAGAAGGGTGTTCAACCAGAAGTCAGAAAGAGCTCATGTGACTCCCTCATGCCTACTTTGATATTCTGTGGTGCTGGGGAGAGTAGAGCCCGAGGTGTCTTGGCAAGAACCAAAGTACGCAACTCAATAGACAAGAAGTTTTCTCCACTGGAAATATCCTCCTGACCCTTTATGTTTTATGTTCATGTTATTGCTACATCTCATTTCCCCTAACTTACCTTCTTTTTAATTTCTTTAAAATCTCTACACTCTTGAGGTTCCACTAGCTGTGTTCAAAACATAAGTCAGGTTAAGGCCCTGTCCTGTTCAGTGTCTCTTGTAGCTTCTTACCACCCAGAGAATGAGGTCCCAAGTCCCCACTCTGGTGTCCAGGCCCACCATTCACACCTGTTTCCCAACCCTCCGCCCCTCTCTCTGAGCTCCTGCACATAGGCTGTTCCTTGAGCTCACCAACACCCCTAGAGCGCTCCTGCCGCCACCATATGCCCTTGTACTTGAGGTCCCCTCAGCACATTGTCTCTCATGTTTCTCTCCCTCACATCATTCCCAGATCTTCTCTCAAAGATCTTTTCCTCAGAGTTCTTCCTGACCACAGTTTTGAAAGTAGCACTTTTGTCAGTACCTTCAGTCCCTCATACTGTGTATATCTTTTCGTATCACTTAAATTTAGCTAAATGCACATCCTGATGGAATGTAAACTCCAAGAGGGCTTGGTGCCCAAGAGCGCTCAACAAACATGTTAAATGAATGAATTTGGTCAAGAACTTTTTTCTTCTTATCATTTCCTGATTCAAAGGTCTGCTGGGTTATATTAAAAATAAGCCATGTACAACGTATAGTTACCAGTTAATTAATGTTGTTAAGTATGTATCTTTAAAATCGACAGTGCCCTTAATGATGGTAAGAAAGCAAGTTGTTGCCTCTGTGTTGTGGAGGTCATCTCCCAGGGCCTTTGACTCTCCTGAGTGTGAGAGAACATCAGGAGTGTTTTGGGTTTTGTTTCTCTTTTAAACCATAGTTCACCATGGGAACATAAAGATAAATTCAATTATTTTTTAACTCTATCATATTTATATGAAGTAGCCACATTTGATAAACACCCATTGTTTTGAATAGTCTCCTGCTGTTGTTTATTAGCTTCTTGGGCTCTCGCACATGTGAACTGGCTTCCACACAAACCCGTGCATCTCCCTCACCCATGCTTACTAAACATTAATTCACAACACGTTACCAACACTAAGCACACATTTGGGATCTCAGTTGATGGTTTTCCTCTAAAATTTTTATTTTATAAGTAAAATTTTTATTTTATTTATAAGTAAAACAAAATGTTTCATTTAAAATATTGTTTTTCCTCTCCTTTAAAGATTGAAGTCCTTATAGATTTAAGATTCTTTTCTGAAGCCTTTCATGAGATGTCCCAGATTTTTTATGGAAGAAACATGCCTTCCTTAATACCTGCCGGTTCTAAAGCTACTGGGAAAGTGAAGGTAAACCTCTCAGTTTGTTTTAGAACCATCGCTTTACCTTTTGAAGACTGCATTCCTAAAATCCAGGGCCTGCTTCCACACAGGTGTATTTACACGTCTCTGGCACTGTAGACCTCTTTGTTAAGCCTGGCTCTCCTCAGGTTCTCACAAGCTTTCATTGGTCCGGAGTGGAAGGGTATCATGGGGGAGTGAGTGTGGCCTTTTACAATGAAGTTCTGGCTCTATATTATAGTTATCATTGATGGTTTCAGTAGACACATCTATCAGCCACTACCGCTTAGACTTTTGTGTCTAATTTTATAATTTCTGGTTAATATTCTTAGTCAGAACCGCTTCTCCTCATGTTTTTGTTTGTTTGTTTTATAAAGTGTTTTTTGACTTACATACTTTATACCAAAGAGTTAAGCATGTGTTTTACAAATTTCTTCTGATTTCTGTGAGGAGAGGACATTCCTCTATTTTGTCTGCTCTTTTTTGGCTTTGGGCAGTTGTTTTACCTGGATCGCTTAGTTTGTATCTGTAAACCAGATAATTGAGGCATCCTTAAAAATGAAGACTAGTGTTTACATTTAAATCAGAGTGAACTATTTCTTTCCTCTGCTTTAGTTTTCATGGCGACCTGGGAATCACTGGGTGGTCTTGTTAGAGGGAGATGCGTGGACTCTCGGGGGCCAGCAGTGAAGGGAATGGGAGGAGGCAGCAAGCCAGTGTCCTGGGGGAGACTCTCCGGGGGAGTGCGACTGGTAGACACGTGCTGGTGGGGTTCCAGCTTGCAGAACCTAAAGGAGCTGGGGAATAGGCTGCAGGTCCTGAAAATGACTTGCTGAAGCTGACATATTTACATACAGTAACATTCGTTACCGCGGCCTATTCCCCTAGAACGCCTCTGCTTGCTTCTCTGCTGACTGCGACAGCATGTAATTTACTGTAGTAGGGTAGTGTGAGGTTACCTACAGAAAGTCCTAAGAGGGACGTGCAGTAGGCAGTAGGGTATGTGTGTGCACGCGTGTGTGTGCATCTGTCTGTCTAGCTTTTGAGGAATCAGCTGGGTTTTGTTCATTTTCTGTGGCATGAATGAATTCATTTTCTTACCTCGGTAAAATTAGCAGTGTTTTCTTGCTTGCTTCTCAGTCAACAGCCTTTCCCTATTGTAAATAGTTTATGTTTTGTTATTAAAATCATATTTTAGTTTATTTAAATATTTATTGAGAGCTTACTGATGCAGGCACTATTCCAGGCATTAGGATAGAGCGGTAAAAAGATAAATAGAGCTAGAGCCTTCCTGGAGGCATATTACTCTCGGACAGTCCAGTGAGGAAGACAAACAGTGAACATATTAAGCACATAAATATGTGTCAGGTGGTTATGTGCTGTGAGGACAGTCAAGCTGAGTTAGGACGACAGAATGTCTGGAGCAGCAGGTGGCTGTTTTATTGAAGGTGGTTTGGGAAGTCTCTCTACTAAGGGAGCAGTGAGGGGGAAAGATTTGAGAGAGTAGCCTTCCATAAAGGAGGAGCTACTCCAAGGCATGGTTGAGGAAAATCAGGGAGGCCGGAGAGGCTGGAATAGAGAGGGGAGGAGAGAGGAGGGGAGCGCAGGACCTCCCAGGGCTTGGGCAGGACTGGAGTTTACTCTAAATGGGTGAGACCTTGCGGAGCTTTGAAGGGAGGAATGATGGGGTAGGAATTAAATTTCAAAGGGCCACTCTGCTTGCTGATCAGGGACTAGACTAGATGAGCATGGGTATAAATGGGGAGACCAGGTAGAAGGCCTTTGCAGATAATCTGATTGAGATGGGGCGATGGTTGGGATAAGGTGGTGAAGGAGTGGGAAGGGGCCCAACTCTGCACATTGTGATGATGGTAGAGCTGACAGCACTTGCCGATGATGGCTTGGGTGCGGGATGTAAGAGAAAAGGATCAAGGGTGACTACAGAGCGGTCAGCGCGAGCGACTGGTCGGAAGAAGTTTTATGAGCTGAGAAGAGGAAGACTGCTCCGGCAGGGGAGGGGCAGGGCCAGCAGGAGATCCCCACGTCACGTACAGGTGGGGAAGTAGTGTCAGTAGGTGTAGAGCATTTACGATCTGGAATTCAGGGGAGGGTTTGGGGCTTCAGGTAAATTTGGGAGAATTAGCGTAGAGATTTACAGTCATGAGACTGGATAAAATCAGCTGGGGATGGAGGCAGATGAAAAAAGTGGGAGTCAGAGAAGTGACCCTTATGGTTATCCACATTGAGAATTCAGGAGTAAGAGAAGGAGAGAAGCCAGGTGGGTAGAGTGGGAAACAAGACAGAGTTTTCAGTGGGCACTGCTTTCACCAAGATGAACAAATAACCTGAAGCCAATTTGACAGGTAAATTCCAGACTTCTTTTTTATCAACTAGTTATCATGAGGCAAAAGTGTGGGTGCGTTGTCTCCCAGTGAATTGTGACTTCAGATTTTGTATTTTCAGAGTTAATTCCCAGCTCTACTGCTTCGGTTGGGAATTTAAAAAGTGTAATTAAAAGAGGAAATGTGTTCAGGGTTTATAATTAAAATAGGTGTCAGTGTTATTAGGTTGCAGGCTAGTTATTTAAAGAAAGAATGAATTAGATTTCAGTTGTAAAAGAAGTACAGTAGGTCCTCACTTAAAGTCATCAGTAGGTTCTCAGAAACTGCAACTTCAAGTGCAATGATGCATCATGAAGCTACTTTTATCATAAGAAAATCGATATACAGAAGAGTTAAGTTTCTCTGGCATACTTCTGGTCACAAAAACAGACATCACCAAACTTGTAAATAAAGGCCCCAAACACTTCTAATATTGATGATTAAAATAAACGTGAGCTATACATACATGTAAGAAAGATTAATAAAAACAAGTAAGATCATGGCTTTCCAAATAGTTAGCGGAGCCTATCGAGGCAGCTCAGGGTGCCAGGTGGGAACCCACCCTGGACAGGTCACCCTTCTACCACAGGGTCCAGACACACACACACACACACACACACACTCAGACTGGGACAATTTAGACATTCCAGTTAACCCCACATGCACAACTTTGGGGTGTGGGAGGAACCCAGAGTCCCTTAAAAAACCCCACACAGACATGGGGGTAGCGGGCAAACTCCACACAGACAGTGGCCCCTGCTTGGGATCAATTTTCTTTTCTCATCAACGTTATAACAAAACAACGTTGAATGAAACAATGTTATTCGAGGACCTGCTGTGTCTGAAAAAGTCTTACAGATTATTATTGGACTTCTCACAGGTGTTTAAAAAATTCTGTCTTTTAACATTATACTCATTGAGATTCTGCTCTCATCACCAGCTCTAAAGTCCCATCAACTCTCTTCAAATTATACCACCAAAGATCTCCCCTTGGGTTCACTTGCTCATCAATGTATTATAGAGATAAAGAATATCTTCAAAAAAGGGGAAAAATTTAAAACACTGCCAACACTTTCTTTCAATCAGAGCTATATGTGTCATCTTGGTTTAGGGGTCCGGCAAAAGCAGATCCTGAGACAAAGATTTGGAAACAAATACTGTAGTATATTTGGGAGGTAGTTCCAGAAAGGATGGTGAGTGAGTGGGAAAGGGCGGAAAACCATTCCATGGAGTATTAATGAGGTCACTGCTGTAGGCAGTGGGGACCCTCAGAGAGACCGGCCAGAGCAATCTCTGTCCCTCATTGGTACGGACGCCCCCTGCACGTCCAGCTCCCCTGAATGCTCATGTGGCCACAGAGTGCCTGCAAGCAGAGACGCACAGGTGAAGGAGGGTACCTCCCATATGTGAGCTGCCTGTCCACAAAAGCTGCTGGTGACTTCAGGTGGCCGGGGGGATATGAGCAGGACGTCAGTATCGCTGTCTACAATGGGCACTTTTTCTAAAGGGCCTTCTGTACCTAGAGAAATGCACCCTGCACAATGACACAGCAGTCTCCTGTGGCAAATACATTGAATAGTTCCTCATGCAACATTATATTTAGAGCCAAGCATATTAATAGGTAAGTCACTAAAAAGAAGAAGAACCACAAAAAGAATCATTCTGGAGAGTAATACAATTTTACCTCAAACTAGCCAGACAAAATAGTGACCATGTCATTTAAATAGAGCTGTATGGTAGGGTAAGGGCGGGAAGTGGTCCCCTTAGGTGTCTAACAGCAGGAAAGAAGTTGTTACGCTACCTTGACAGGATAGAATGTTGCCTAGCTATTAGACTGAAGTTTACAGATAATTTAAGGGTGTGGGAAAACAATTATGATATAATATTTAATGAAAAGGAATATAGATCCATATATAAAAATTTAAAATACATTTAAAAAGACACCAAAGTATTAACATTGACAACCTAAAAAAGTTAGTTTATCTCTGATTTTCACTTTCTTCTTTCTTTTATTGTCTTTTCTAACTAGAGCATGTAGTTAGACTGGGACAATTTAGACATTCCAGTTAACCCCACATGCACAACTTTGGGGTGTGGGAGGAACCCAGAGTAGTAGTTTGGCAATAAAAATGATATTTAAAATACGTTTAGAACACAGTAACAATTTTATTTAAAAGAACACTCAATATTCTTGTTTCTAATGTTAATATTTTGTATGTTGACAGACATTCCAATCATTTGACTCAGGAAAACCTCTTACTAGTAAAGAAAATATACAGGTAAGGATAACAGTAGTTTATAAACATTGGATATGTGCTGTGGATAATTTTTTATTTATTTCAATCTATTTGGTAGCTTTAATCTTTGTTTTTGAAAATCCTGTATGTGATATGCTCTTTTATTTCTCAAAATGCTAAGGCCAGATGTAAGATTGTACCCAAACTGATCTGGTTTTCAAGTTGGGCAAATACCACTTACTGCTCCTAGATTTTTCAATTACACAAGTATTCAATTTGTTCATCTAGTCATGTCAAGTGTCTAACTTTGACATTTGTCTTGGTTACCTGCACAAGAATGGTTGGCTTTGATGGGAAGAACAGGATTTTGTATGTTTTGAGATCACGCACTTGTTCAGTCCTGCTTTTACTCATATCCTTTGCCCTAGTCTAAGACTGCCTCTCAGCCAGTGGTTTGAAAGGTTTTCTTTTCTTCTTTTACTTAAATTTTTTTATTTATTGAGATATAATTGGCATATCACATTATGTAAGTTAAGGTGCACAACATGTTATTTTGATACATTTACATATTGTACTATGATTATCACCCTAGAGATAGCAGCTCCTCTGATTTCCACAATATTTTTTTCAAAGAGAGGGCTAGACTGCCCATCTCAGTAGGTTTGTTCTTGTCAGTAATTGAATGATTGGGATTTGAGCTTTGATGACCTAGTAGTATTTAAATAACTTGAAATAATAATTTTTAAAGACCTTAGGACTACTGACAGTAGAAAGTGTTAGAGCATAAGAGTGGTAGTGCAACCATTATTCAAAGGGGTTATGGACAGGAAAGGGGCTCTTACAGCCAGGTAACAGGTCATGCATATAGACAGGTTATTTTAATGCTAGGAAACAGCATTCTGTTTTATTAAATAAGGTATTTATTTTTATTAAGTAATTTTGAGAGACACTTCAAACTTGCTTTATTATTGTCCTCCCTAATTTTGATAGAAATATATCACATGTAATTTATTAAATGTAATCTTATTACTTTTTTATTGTTCATTTTATTCCACAAACTTTACATATAATTATGCTTCAGATGATTCCTTGTTTTTGCCTTAAAGTTTACTTTAATGTATAAGCAAGTTACCTGAAATGAAAGAGCTGGTATTTGAAAGATACAAATACATATTCATATTTCATTTTAGTATTCCAAGATCTTGGATTTTTAAGAATATCTGTTTTTTCCCCCATCTTAAATGCCATGAAATCCTAAAAAACACTTCTTAAAAAAGTGGTTTGGGGTCTAAAAGGAATGTCTGCCTGATCTTTTTTTTTTTTTAAAACAAAAAGACTGACAGTATAATGGAAAACTGATTTCTATTAGCTAATTAATTAAAACAGAACTATTGGTCTGCTCAAGACTCTTCAGATTACACTTTACATTTTTTTGCATAGTGAGAGAAAGGAGTGTTAAATAGCATTTCTAATTAATCTTCTTTTGATTCTCAAGTGTTTGTGTGTAATTGTCAAGACTCATTAAATCACTGCTGTGGAAAGAAAAGAGAAGAGAAGACTCCCCACCTCCCCCCAAACAATCTGTAGTTCTTTTTCTAGATCCGGAATATCGACCATTTTCCTAGTACAACAGTTTGTTACCAGCTCAGGCTCCGTGCTGCTCCAAGTCTGCCTCCTCTGTATGTGCTCATGTCCACCCTTCAGAAGATGTTAAGACAGGAGAAGGGACAATGGCAACCGACCTCCTCACTGCCAACATTGCCTCAAACTCACCCCAACAATGAGATTGTATTTTTAGTTCACATTAAGCAAATCCTTTCCCTCTTTCCTAGAATAGACAGCCTCAGCATCTGCATTTTATATTAATTCAACAAATATTTAATAAGAGCCTATTGTACACAAGGCACCACTCTAGTGCTGCCAAATAAACACATCAATCAACAGTACAAACTTCATGCCCTCAGGATGCTTCTGTTTAAGACTAGCCATAAACATATAAGTAAGCATTATAAATAAGTAAATCATTTAGTATGTTAGAAGGTAAACCATGCTATGGGGGAAAATAAACCCAGCAGTGCATAAGGGGGATTGGGAGCATGGGGCTAGGTTGGGAGTTATAATTTTAAATGGGGTGATCAGATTAGTCTTCACTAAAGTGACATTTGTGAACAGACTTGAGATAGGTAAAGACTCAAGTCATGTAAAATATGGAGAAAGAATAATCTAGGAAGAGGGTACAATGAGTGCAAAGGCCCTGGGGCAGGATTGCCTAGCTCGGTGAGAAACATCTTGGCTAGTGTTTATAGAACTGTGTGAGTGAAAGAGAGCGGTGGGAGATGAGGTCGGAGAGGTAACAGGAATGCAGTTTGAAAAGGGCCTTGTAGGGCCTTTGTAACTTAGGTTCTTACTCTGAACAAAATGGGGAGCCACTGGAGGGTTTAAAACAGAGATGTGGCCTGATCTACTTATGTTTTAAAAGGATCACTTTAGCTAATCTGTGGAGCCTACTCAGCACTACATACTGTTCTCGTGCTGTCAGTCAGACACATCAGCCAATCAATAATACAAATTCTCCACCCTCACAGAGTTTATATTTGTGTGTGTGTGTTTGTGGGGGAGACTAGAAGTACTGTTTTGGACATGTTCAGTTTAAGATATCTGATAGACATTCAAGTGAAGGTATTGAGTCAGAAGTTGATTATATGTGTTTTGAGTTCAGAAGAGAGATTGGAGCTGGAGAGAATCACTTTTATTTCATCTGCATTTAGATGAAATTAAAACCATGAGCTTGATTAAGATCACCTAAAGGGAAGGAGGGAGGAGACAGAAGAGGACCGGGCCCTAAGACATGCCAGTGTTAAGAGGTGTAGGAGACTAAGAGGAGCCAGCTAGGAAGGCTGACGAGGAGTGGCCAATGGGCTAGGAAAGAAATCAAGGGAATGTGGTGGCTTGAAAGCTAAGAGAAGCATTTTCAGAAGAGGGAATGATTTATAGTGTCGAATTTTGCTGATGAATCAAGCACCATAATTTACTGAGTCCTAAACATGCTTTTTTCTTCTTCACATTTAACATCTCTGAAATTGGAATGAATTTACAGTTGAAGCCATGTAACGGTTTAATTGGCATATGAGATAATGTCTTGATCAGCAAATTTCAACCCTTTTCATCTCATGCACACATAAACTAATTCCTAAAAGTCAGCAGCACACCAAAAAATATATTTTTTGTTGATCTGACAAAAAATAGGTATAATTTTGATTCATTCACACTGGACAGCTCTTATTGTTTTGGCTGTTGTCATTTTTTTAAATTTGACAATCTAGGGAAAAGGGGTCAATGTCCCTGACTAAACAGTCAAGTATTGCATGTTTTAAAAATTCTTGAAGCACACCAGTTGAAAATCGCTGTCTTAGATTGTATGTAACATGACATAGGAGGACTAAGAATTGGATTGGATTTAGTTAAGTGTAGGCCAGTGGCCACGGTGACCAAAGGGTTTCAGTGTAGGGAGGGAGCGGGTGTACAAGCAAATGAAAGGGGAGGATTAGAATATTGACAACTTCTTAGGTTGCGCTGTCAAGAGGAGCAAGAATTGAGGGAGCAGCTGGAGAGAAAGTCAGGACATGGGGTTTCTGTTTTTTGAGATGGAGAAGACAGCATGGCTGTGCTGATGGGAATGTGACTTAGAAAGGGAACATTTATGATGTAGGGGGAATGGCTGAGTAGGCCAGTGGGGACAGGTTCGATGGTCTGAGAGGCAGGAAGGCAGGCAGAGTGGTGGGACAGGTGCTTGGGTGGGTTGGAGAGAGGGCGGAGCTGTGGGGTCTGTGGACACTACATGGCTGCTTCAGTTTTCTCAGTAGAGGAACCAAGGTCATTAGCTGGGAGGGACACTGGGGAAGAAAAGTTAAATTTAGAAACAAGGAAAGCGTGAAAAGAGTTGTCTAGGAGAGAGTGAGAATGAATGGACTGGGGAAATGCAGAACAGTGACCAGGCGGCACTGAAGTCTGGCCAGGAAGTCAAGGTGGGACCATGGATCCTGACTGTGCGATTTCCTCAGCCTTCAACTGCAGGGTGCACGCCCCCAGGAAGTTCTGTGTTGGCTTTTGCCAGGACTTTGATTTTGCCAAGGAAGTGCGTATGCACAAGATCGAGGGTGGGGAGCTGAGTTCTGATAACTGAGCTCTGATCTAAGCTGGGTCGTGAGCTTGCCCATCCACCAATCTTCCCATTGGTGCCCTCATAGCTCTAACTTACACTAAAGCAGAGCGGCCAGCGTGCACGGCTGATGAGTTTCTGCGGTTTCTCTATTTTGAAGGTGTCTCCTCCCTTGCTCTCAGCCCTGGCTCACTGTCATTATGTGGCAGGGCTGGGCTCATGAGGCACAGGCCACAGATTGGTGGGGAACTGCAGAGGCGCTGTGGAGCTGCTGGAGTGGTTCCAGTGCCACGTTTCTCTCCATAGACCTGCTATTTATGGTACCTCACGGCTGTCCCTGTATTCTTCCACTCAAAACCAAACAAGGAATGCAAGAGGGGACTGAAGCTAATAATATCTAAAAACAAGATTTTACTTATTTGCCTTTCTAAATTTAATTTCCCCCCATTTTTTAGGCACTTGATGAATTAATAAATAAAGGCATGCCTCAAATTCTGCTTACAGTTGGCCATCAACACCTCTTATATAAGTTTTCTTTTGTTAAAGCATACTTTTTAATAAGTGTGGCTGCAACAATAAATTGTGTTCCAGAAAATATGATAAAAATAGTCAACCAAGGATATGTTTCTGAGAGGAGCAAAACAAACCTCTCCAACTTGAAAGGTAACCTTTTGTTTTATTGTTTGCTTGGTTTTCTCCAACTCTGCCCCTCTCCACCCCCAGTAATTCTTACGAACAGTCTAGTATCTGTTCTTCCATATTTTCTCTAAGCTTATTAATGTTACACATCTATGCTTGTGTTTAGGTGCATGCCTATCCATATCATCCATATATCTCCATATCCATGCATTTTATACACACACACACACACACATACACACACAAAAGGGATTTGTCATTTATTTACAAATAATATATTTTTATATTTTTCTGTATCTTGCCTTCCTCGTCCAGGAAAATGTTACTAAAACTGCTCCTAAGTCAGCTGCTGTGCTTCAGCTCACTATACTGGCTGCGCAGTGTTCTGTGCTGTGAATGTCCCATGGTTATTCAGTCATTCCCCTGTTGATGTTCATTCACTTCGTCTCTAGAGAACAGTGCTAAAGCGCCACATACCCACATGATATAGTGCATATTTCTATGGGATCAGACACCCATGGATGGAATTTAGGGGCCATAATGTGTATCTGTTTTGCAAATGGATTAGATGTCACCATAAAAATAATTGGTTTTCACCATCAAGTATGATGCTAACTGTGGTTTTTTTCATATATGTCTTTTATCAGATGGAGGAATTCCTAGTTTGTTGAATGATTTTTGTCACGACAGAGTTTTGGGTTTTATTAAATGCCTTTTCTGCATCTTTGTCTAGTTTTGGTATCAGAGTAATATTAGCCTCTGTTTTAAAATGTAAGTTTATTGTTTTTCAGATATGGGGAGGCCAATAGATTAGGAGATAGCTTCCACTGAAAACACAGTTTGTTATTCACAGCTCCCAAGAGAAGGGACATGCCACAACGTGGGAGGGCCACATGGGAGGCAGAGAGAGTGAGGAAGAAGGGGGCAGACTCCTCTTAGGGTTGCTGTTCATCTCCTGATGATGCTCATCACAGGGTTCTCCATACCGAGCTCCAGGCGTTTGTTTTCTATCTTTGTCTCTCACTTTCTTCCTTAGGGTCCTGAGAAGACCCAGTCGCAGGTCTTCCTGCTGGGCCTTTCCCAGTGCTCAAACCCTCCCTTATACTCAGCTCACCCCTAGCTCAGAACCTCCTAATGTAGGAGAAGAGCCAGGGAGACAGAAGGGAGGAAGTCCGGTGCACTCAGTTCTACGTTAATCTAGACTCCTTCCTACCCAGTGTTTTTAGGCAGGTAATTTTTGCAGTGATTCCTAGTCAAATAATGATGTGTAGTTTTTTTCTCTCTCCTGTAGTCTAGAAGCCAGGTTCACCAAAGCAGGCAAGGTCTGGGATATAAATTCTCTGAATTCTCCCTGGCTCGGGATCAGGGCTGGCTTTGGATTGGGGGGCGGGGTAGGAGGTGAGATATTTGAGATTGTCGATTGTGCCATTCCAAATGGTGTCAATCTCCAGTAGAACTGAACTCAAGCTCTAACTTAAGTTAGAGCTTGTGCAGCTCAGTAGAACTGATGCTTCCAAGAAGATCTTACTGAAATATTATAAATATCTGGAAGACCCAAAATACTTTGAGGACCTTAAGGGTTCTGGAATCCAGGAGAGGAACCAATAGCTGATCACTTGAATAACATCCTCTTAGCATCTGAAAGATCCTTCCAGAGTTGTCTGCTTTGTTGTAAGAATCAGCCTCAATTTTCTAATATATGATGTTTTTAAACTATTTGATATAATAACATATTTCTAATTATCACTGTGAGGTTTTTAGCATTAAATTTATGGATGGTTTCCCAATTAATGATGAGTTTTATTGAGAATTAATATTTAAACTAACCACAGATATCCTTGGTTCTTTCAAAATTTTGTGTCTTATAGAGCTATGTGTGAAGGATGAAGGAAGTACATTTATTTATCCTAGAAAAGAGAAAGATGAATTAACCCTTAATACAGTAAAGGTAAGTTTTAAAATGTTTTCAAAGCATAGTAAATCAGTTACCAAGATACACACTCTTCGGCAGGGGACAGGCCCATTTCCTGGGTTGTGCTTGCTGTTAGGAGACCAGGTAGCTTTTCTCGCATGAGCATGGGTCGGGGTAAGATGAATTCTACCCCCAGGAGAAAAGTCAGATACCCGGAGGTGTCAGACTTTCCCTGTACAACCTGATTAGGTGCTGCAGAACATACGATTCTTTATTTGATAGGATTTCCATACCGTTTCTCATTTCTTGACAATAACAGTGATGACAACAGCGACAAAAACAGCTTCCTCTTATTCATCGCCTACCACACCACAGGCACTTCGCACGATTATTTTCACAGCTCTGTGATGTAGGTGTTACTCATTGTGAACTATGTTGCGCTGAACCATGAGAAAACTGAGGCTTAAACAGTTAGAAATTCACTAGCGTTACGCAGCTAATAAATACAGATCATGTCCTTGACCATCATGCAAATTGGTCTAGAACTTGTATAATATTTACTGCTCTGTACCAGCAAGATTTTAGAGGCCTGTTCCTTGAAAGATGGGTCGGTCCCTTCCTGTTTTACCGTGCCGGGTGGCTGTTTGCTATCGATTGTCCACTGTAAAATAACCTTCACGTTACCAGGTAGGCGCCCATGGTTTAACTTGAAATGCAGCCGATCCTTATTGGTCACCATTTTGTTATTTGCTAATTTGCCAGTGCTAAAGTTTATTTGTAAAGTCAATAGTTACAGCTCTTTTGTGGCCATTTGTGGACATGAGCAGAGCATAGAAAAATGTGAATTGCCCAGCACACGCATTCCAGGCTGGGTCCAACAAGGCAGTGCTCTGAGTTTTTGTTTCCACTCTCATACTCTAAACATGCATCCTTTTCATGGTCTATTTATTGCCACATTTTTTTGAGTTTTTGTGCTTTTTTTGTTGTTGCTGATTTTATCATGTAAAATGACCCACTATTCTAGTGCTAAAGTGCTGTTTAGTGCTTCTGAGGGCTGTGATGCACCTTATGGAGAGAATAAGTGGGGGAGTTAAGTTTCAAGCAAGCATTAGTTATAGAGCTACTGACTGTGAGTTCAAGGTTAATGAGTCTATAATATATATTAGTGTGTCTTTAAACATAAACACATATTGAACAAGGTTACATATTGGTCAGTGACCAGAGGCTCCCAGGGACCTACCCCTAGGAACAGTGGTTTGGTTACTTGCTAATTCAGTGTTTGCAGCAACTTTATTGACCGTAACTACTGTAAATGAGCATGTATGAGCATCGGCTGCGTGTGCAACGAAGGGTCACTGTTGCACGTGTTTCTCTTGCCATGACTTGCCTTTTCCCTCCCTGTTGCTTCTTTGCTGTTCACTGATGATGATTTTCAAATTTCCCTTTTGGTCTCCCATTTTGTTACTTTTTCAGCACAAAAAAATATTCGACAAGTAAGAATGAGACATTATTTGTATTATTTCTGAACTTACGTAATTGTGAGGTCTTGTTTTTTCAGTCAGTTTTACTGACAGAAGCTGAAGACAGGCTCAACTCCCTTGTGTCAGAGATGGAGAGTCCCGGCCGCAAGAGCCTCGCGCAGTGTTCGGCGGGCCAGCTGGAGGTGGTGGTGCAGGCCCGGCTTCAGCTGGCCGCCGTCGCCCTGCAGAGACACCGGGCGGCCTACAGGCGAGTCGCAGTGCGCGGAGGGGTTTCTTCCTCCCCGCGGTTTGCTAAATATACCTAAAGTGTATAAACTCCTAGATAAATAGAGCCTACTTATTTTTATTATTCAAGGAAGTTTTAATATTAATCATTATTATTTTTAAAACTACGGGTTAAAAATTTGTGTTTCTTTTTAAACCTTCTTAACTTTTTTTATTATACTGAAATTCCATGCATTCAACCCGGTACGTTAGATTCTGAATTTGGAAGGGAGTTAATTTGTAGGTCGTCATTCTCTTCAACAAGGAGCAGGCCCTGGCTAGTGTGGCTCAGCTGGTTGGAGCAGCATCCCATACACCGAAGGGTTATGGGTTCAGTCCTGGGTTAGGGCGCGTTCCTGGGTTGCCGGTTTAGTCCTGGTTGGGGTGCATACAGGAGGCAGCCAATCGATGTTTCTCTCTCTCTCATTTCCTTCCTCTTTCTAAAATCAATAACATGTCCTCAGGTGAGGATTAAAGGTAATAACAGAGCCCACCTGCAGCTTCTGCAAAGAGGCAATCAATTCAGCAGAAACCCCTTTTTGCTTTGATTGGAAACAGAATCATCAATGTGAGCCTTGACTGAAGGTCATTCCGTGATTAACCACATCTAAATTTGATTTTATGCTAGAAACAGTCTTGGTTTTTAGAAATTTATAATTTTTGTGGTTTATGACTGTCCATAAAGTCTGCTTGGAGCAGTGATCCTCTAAGCATGGTCTGCAGATCTCTAAGGGTGTCCCTGAGACCTTTCCAGGGGTCTGTAAGGTCAAAAGTATTTTTATAATAAAACCAAGATGTGATTGGCCTTCTTGTGTTGTAATTTGCATGATGCTGCAAAAGCAACGGTGGTAAACTTCCGGCATCTCCCTGTGAGTCAGAGCCATCGCCATGCTCATAGTCATTACGTCCTTCACTGCCACACGCAATAAAAAGAAAAAGGGCCAGTTTCACTAAGAATGCCTTTCATGAAGCAGTGGAATCTGTTTCATGTATAAGTCCTCATCCTTGAATCTACTTTTAATATTCTGTGGGAATAATAAATGGGAAATACACCTAAAGCACTTTTATTGTGCATCAAAGTTTGATAGTTGTCTTGAGAAAGCACATATGTGATTGAGTTGAGAGTCAAATAAGCTGGGTCTTTTTCAAGGAGTACCATTTTTATTTGAAAAACCCCCTGCAAAATATGGTTATTCGGGCTTGAGAATTTGACAGGCATTTTATTGAAAATGCGCAAATCGGACATGCCACTTCTTGGAAAACAACTAATGGTATTTGTTACCAATCATAACATCTAACCTTTCATGGGAAAACTAGAATTTTGGAAAATTTGTATTTGCCACTGTGAGCTTGCCAGTTTTCTAATGCTTTTCTGATGAGATTGGTAGTAATATTAACAAGCATCATTTTAAAAATTGTGTAATGAAATGTTTTGACATTAAGGGGATCTGCATAACTCAGGAAGCTAATATTTTCCAAATGACTAGTATATGATGTTCCGAAATCCTGGTTAGCAAGATAGACCAGTGATTTTCAATCTTTTCATCTCATGGCACATATAAACTCATTTCTAAAATTCTGCAGCACACCAAAAATACAGTTTTTGCCATTCTGACAAAAAATTAGGTATAATTTTGATTGATTTACCAAAAAAAAAAAAAAAAGTAATTATTACCTATACTTTTTGCTCCAAAGAGACTTTTTAAAAAATCTAGAAAAACCCCTAGAGATCCTCCTATACTTGTATATAAGGATTTTTGGTACCAAGAATTAACCAATCAGACACAATCTTATTATGCAACATGGCCAATAAGATATAACTCAATTAAGACCTATATATTTATGGTTCAAGATGGGGTATTACCATCAGACAGCTATTGTTGTTTGCTGTTGTCATTTTTTTATTTGACAGTCTAAGGGACCTTTTCCAGAGGTCAGTGCTCCTGACTACGTAGTCAGGTAAGTGCATATTTTAAAAAGTCTTGCTGCGCACCAGTTGAAAATCACTGAGATAGACCAATAGGTTTCCATATAAGGGAGTAGGAAAAGTTGATCAGTGTGTGGTATTAGATTCCAAATTGCAATACATTTTAAAGAAACTATCACTTGTCACATTTTGGTTTGGTATGAAAGAAGAATATTCACAGTTATTTGAAGAAGCTATTAAAATATTCCTCCCATTTCCAACAACTATCTGTTTGAGGCCTAGTCTTCTTCATACATTTCAGCCAAAACAGTATGTCATGACATACTGAATGTAGAAGCAGATATGAAAGTCTTCTATTAAGTAGATTTTCTCTTAAGCCAGACATGAGATTTGCAAAAAATGAAAAACAATGGAATTCTTCTCACTAATTTTCTTGATGTTTTGGAAAATATAATTGTTTTTCTTTTTTAAATCCTCACCTGAAGATATGTTTTTATTGATTTTAGAGAGAGAGGGAGAGAGAGAGAGAAACATCAGTGTGAGAGAGAAACATCGATCAGTTGCCTCCTGTATGCGCCCTGACCAGGGATCAAACCCGTAACCTTCTGGTGTATGGAACAATGGTCCAACCAACTGAACCATCTGGCCAAGGCCGTTGTTTTTCATTAAAATGAATTATTGTATTAGCATGTAATGAATTTATTGTTTTTATTTTAAAACAAATTAATATTCATGAAGTTAAAAATTTCTCAGTTTAAGTACTAATACGGTAAATATCGATGGAGCTCTTTGGGGTTCTCAATAATTTTAAGGGTATAAATGAATGCTGAGATTTAAAAAGGCTTGGGAATTACTAGTTTAGTGTATTGTTAGTTGATTGATGATAAAACAGGCTTAGCATAATAATATGCTATTTTTTTCATTGAAGGTTGAAGAGAAGACTTTTACTATATGATTTTCTATGGGAAACATGATGTGAATGTATCTAAATATATGTATTTAGGTATTTATGACAATAAAATATATGACTGATTTCCAGTAGAATATGGAAAATACAGAATTCTTTTCTCTAACAGTGTCCCACAGAGCAACAGTAGCCGTAGCCTTCATTCATTGTTTCTCTAGCTCTCAACATGCCTTATACCCTTTTGGTATGCAGCACAGGAGTGAAATTTTTTTTCTTTTTTTTAGAGAAGAAGGAAACTAGAAACTAATCTTTATAAAATGGCCACTGAAAGGAGTGTTACAATAGAACTTTAATTTGAAGACCAGATAGACATATGCAAATAACATGCAAGTGTATCAGAATCACTCCTATTTTAAATACATGAACCTGGCCCGTAGGACAAAACCTGCAAAAACTTTCATACTATTGCCTTTTTGCAGCAGAGTTGTCATTTGGGGGAACCTACTGTCAAGATGAATGAGTTTCTCTTAGGTGAACTTGACCCCCCACGAGCTTCTGTTTGGGAGCTACTGAAAGTGTTGGACAGTCTCTTTTCCAAATGATGGTTAGCTTGACGTTTCATGATACTTCTAATAAAATTATGTGTCAAGGAAATTGAAAGGCACATTCCCTAGGGTGACAGGTAAAGTGAGCCGCATGGATTTTAGGCGAACAAACTGACCGTTTTTGTCATGAATAGTAATAAGAAATAAATGGGATCAAAGTTATTCAAACGATATTTCTTCTTGTTAGGGCTGCCTCTCAGAATCCTTTTTTTCTTTTCTTTTTTTTTTTTTTTT